CAAACGATAAAATACTAATTGGTTAGATTTCACTCTGTTTTAAATAATTTAAAGTCAAATTACTATATCCTATAAAAAACTATTTAAAAAACGAAGGGTACAGTACCAGTTATGTAATTAATTCTTTAAATTTAATTCTTTAAAGAATTAAACGTTCTTTATAACTTCCATTTTTAAGAAATTGAATTATTTAAAGCAGATGTTTTTAGTAAAAAAGGAAATTTTTATCAAAATTTATTTTATAATATGTTTCTTATTTTTAAATTCGTGATACCAGTCAGCAATCGGAAATATTTAAAATAATTTTATTTAAAATATATATTTCAAATATATATATACATATGTACAGCGGAAAGCGGAGGCGATGGCAACTTTAATAATTAATAATCAGTTACTTTTCGTGGTAATATATTACAATTTAACTCGTGACAGTACTGCGACAGTTTTTTTTAATATCAGGAAACGCGTATATGTCATATCGGTCAGCAATCGGTAGTATTTAAAATAATAATAATTTTATCATTCAGAGTCGAGTTCATATGAGAATGTACGCTTTAGAGATATATTACTTCTACTTCTAAATATTTAATGAGGGGTACAGCGGAAAGCGGCGGCGATTCGAAAATCGGACGAAAGACACACACTTTACGTATGTTCACTTTGTACTGGCAACTTTAATAATTAATAATCAGTTACTTTTCGTGATAATATATTATTACAATTTGACTCGTGATAGTACTGTGATAGTTTTAAATATACGTCATATCGGTCAGCAGTCGGTAGTATTTAAAATAATAGTTTTATTTAATACGTATGTTAAAAAGTTGTAACAAAATACGGCGCAAAAGAAGGGTGGTGAGGGTGGGAGGAGGGAAAGGGGAAGGGGCGAGTGGAGGAGGTCCGGTGGGCCGAAGATGGTAGAGGCGCGAGTGAAAGGTGAGAGAGGATGTTAAAAAGTTGTAATAACGAAAAAGAGTGAATTATGGCGAAAGAGAGGGGCGGTGGGAGTGGGTGGCGGGTGTAGGGGTAAGGGCGGGGGAGAATGTCCAGAGGGTCGAAGATGGTAGAGGTGCAAGTGGAAGGTGAGAGAGGATGTTAAAAAGTTGTAACAACGAAAGATAGTGAAATACGACGGAAGAGAGTGGCGGTGGGGGTGGGTGG